ATAACTCTAGAACCTACCAAGATTCCTTCTTCCTTACTGACATGACCTTGCACAATTGACCCGCCAAATTCCTCAAGATCTTCCTGAGCCCGTGCTCATTCACCAGACGTACAAGCCCGTTCATTCCCCATTGACATCAACTAAACGTGCGACGATACATTCCAATCCAAAGTCATGTTGTATCCTTCTTCATATCATGCAAATCTTTTCCGTATAGCAGCGAATATTCCAAATTAAGTTCGTAGACTTAGTCACAGTCGACCATGAGTTCCAAATCATTCTAAACTTTTCCCAAGGCGTATAGTCATCCTACCATCGGGCCCACGTGCCCCAATTCCGAAAATATTTGAAGATAAACTTTACCCATAACCTCACAAACTCAAATATATAGTTTATTCTCAATTCCATGCCCAAATTCGTGGTCAAAATCCAAAATATCAAATTCTATGTTTTCTACCAAAAACCTCATAATTTATACTAATTTCCATGTTCAAATTCATATAAACTCATGTATTTAACTCAAAATTGTGAAGAAAGCACTTACCCCATTAAGATTGATGAAGATGGCACTCCAATGTGCTCCAAAATCAGCTCCCATAGGCGAAAATGAAATAAGATAGAGCCAAACCCTCGCTTTAAAGGAGACACTGCCCAGCCCCGACTTCCACACCTGCAGCCTCTTTGTCGCATATGTGGTCTCGTAGGTGCGGCCAAAACCTCAAACCTACGTATTCCCTCTGCCTAGCTCGACTCCGCACCTGCGCCTTCCTTCCGCGTCTGCGCCTTCGCAGGTGCGGCCATACCCTCACACCTGCGCCCCCAGATTCTCCTCTCACTCTCGCACCTACGACGCACCTCCACATCTGCGACCTCGCACGTGCGGACAACCCTTCGCACCTGCAGTCACTGCCCAGCTTCGCCCAAACCGCACCTGTGACCACTGGCTCGCACCTGCGGCCTTGCACATGCGGTCCTTATTGCGCAGGTGCGATCACACCAGATATCAGCTGCCTCGTCTTTTATTCTAAGTCCAAACTCGATCCGTTAGCCATTAAAATCCACCCGAGGCCCTTGGGACCTCAACCAATTATACCAACACGTCCCCAAACACATTACGAACTTAGTCGAGACTTTAAATCGCATCAAACAACGTCAAATTCATGAATCGCACCCCATTCCAAGCTTAGTGAACTTTAGAATTTCAAACTTCTACATTCGATGCTGAAACCTATCAAATTACGTCCGATTGACCTCAAATGTTTCACGCAGTTCACATTTGACATTACGGACCTACTCCAACTTCCGGAATCAGAATCCGACCCCAATATCAAAAGTATACTCCCGGTCAAACTTCTCAAAAACCTTCAAATGTCTAACTTCCGCCAAATGACTCCAAAATGACCTACGGACCTCCAAATCCACTTCCGAACGCGCTCCCAATACCGGAATCACCATACGGAGCTATTCCCAGACTCGGAATCCCAAACAGACATTGATAACATTGAAATGCACTTCAACCCAAATTTATGAATTCTTCTAAAATGCCAACTTCCATAATAGGCGTCGAAACGCTCCCCGGTCATCCAAAACTCGACCCGATCATACTCCCAAGTCTAAAATCATCGTACGAACCTGTTGGAACCTTCAAATCCCGATTCCGAGGTCGTTTACTTAAAATTCGAACGTTAGTCAATTCCTCTAACTTAACGCTTCCGAATTTAGAATTTTCTTTCCAAATCAACTCCAAGCTTCGATCTACTTAGAGAAATAGTCAGTCATAAATAGTATAAATTGAGCCTTGCCGGGTGCCCAAGGCAGGGGACCGACAATGTCCATTCCCCATTTCATGAACGGCCAAGGCGACAGGACCGAATGTAGTAACTCCTCGGGTTGATGGATCATTGGTGCATGCCTCAGACAGCCATCACATCTCCGTACAAAGTTCTTCGCATCTTTCTCCATGTCGATCTACTAATAGCCATCTTTGATTATCTTACGAACCAAAGATTCTGCCCCCAAATGGTTTCCGCAGGTGCCTTTGTGAACTTCCCTCAAAACATATTCGGTGTCTCCCAGCCCCAAGCATATGGCGCGTGGGCCATCGAACGTTCTTCTGAACAGGGTATCTTTGGATAGGCTAAACCTGGCCGCCTTCGTGTGCAGAGCTCTCGATTCTTTAGGATCAGAGGGCAGCTTCCCAGTCTTCGGGTAATCTATATACTTGTTTCTCCAGACCCAAGTTAAACTTTTTGAGTTTATTTCCAAATGGCCTTCTTCCACTACCAATTTCATGAGTTGTACGACTGTTCCTGAGCCGAATTCATCGTCATAAATCGATGACCCTAAGTTAGCCAGAGCATCAGTTTCGCTATTTTGATCCCAGGGTACGTGTTGTAGGGTCCATTTCTTGAATCGATACAACGTTACCTGTAATTTATCCAAGTATCTTCGCATTCATTCCTCTATCACTTTGAATGTCCCATTGACTTGATTTACCACAAGAAGGGAATCTCACTTAGCTTCGACCACTTCGGCCCCCAGGCTTTTAGCCAATTCGAGACCTGCAATCATGGCCTCATTGTTAGTCAATTTCACAGTTCTAATAGATTTTCCGATTATGTTACCCGTAGGTGCCTTCAACACGATGCCATGTATAGACCCCTTTGCGTTCGAGGCACCATCCGTAAAGAGGGTCCAGATTCCCTAGGAAGTCCCCGAGGTTAACAACAACTCCCTTTCGACTTCGGGTATTAAGGCCGGCGTGAAGTCGGCCACGAAGTCTGCCAAAATTTGAGATTTGATGGCAGTCCGGGGTCGATATTTGATATCATACCCGCTAATTTCTACGGCCCATTTGGCCAATCGCCCTGAGAGCTCGGGTTTGTGCATTATGTTCCTCAATGGGTAAGAAGGTACGACACATATGGGATGGCATTGAAAATACGGCTTTAACTTTCTATACGAGTTTAGCAAAGTGAGCGCCAATTTCTGTAGGTGAGGGTACCTTTTTTCGGCCTCGCCTAGAGTCCTGCTAACATAATAGATAGGAAATTGCATACCTTCCTCTTCCCAGACTAAGACTCCACTTACCGCTATCTCGGATACCGCTAAGTACAGGTACAACTGCTCGTCTGCCTTCCGAGTATGGAGCAAGGGTGGACTCGAAAGGAACCGTTTGAGTTCTTCCAAAGCTTGCTGGCACTCCGGGGTCCACGGAAAGTTATTATTCTTCTTCAATAATGAGAAGAACCGATGGCTCTTATGGGAGGACCTTGATATGACCAACCTAGGGAGGCTATGCGCCCGGTTAGCCTCTGAACGTCCTTGACATTGTCCACTACTGTGATGTCTTCTATAGCTTTGATCTTGTAGGGATTGATCTCTATCCCCCGGTTGGACACCATGAATCCAAGGAACTTCCCGGACACAACCCCGAATGCGCATTTCTTTGGGTTTAGCTTCATATTGTGCTTCTTCAGTATGTTGAAGGTTTCCTGCAAATGTTCCAAATAGTCCTCTGCTCGCAGGGACTTAATTAATATGTCGTCAATGTAAACCTCCATTGATTTTCCTATTTGTTCTTCAAACATCCGGTTTACTAGGCGTTGATAAGTTGCACCGGCGATTTTTAGTTCGAACAACATTACGTTATAACAATAGGTGCCGAATTTAGTAATGAAGGAAGATTTTTCTTGATCGCCCGGGTCCATCCGGATTTGGTTGTACCCGAAATAGGCATCGAGAAAGCTGAGTATCTCGTGCCCGGCCATTGCGTCGATCATGCGTCGATATTAGGCAAAGGAAAAGAATCCTTGGGGAATGCCTTGTTCAAGTCTTTGTTATTTACACACATTCTTAATTTATTTCCCTTTTTAGGCACTACTACAATGTTAGCCAACCAATCCGGGTAGTTAACTTCCCGAATGGAACCTATTCTAAGGAGTTTGGATACCTCGTCTTTGATGAACGCATGCTTGATTTTGGACTGAGGCCTCATTTTCTGTTTAACCGGGTGGAACTTCGAGTCTAAGCTCAGCTTATGAGTGGTTACTTCTGGTGGGATCCCTGTCATATCTAGATGGGACCAAGAAAAACAATCCACGTTAGCTATAAGCAATTCAATGAGTTTTTTTCCTGAGCTCGGGAGTCAACCCCGTGCCCAGGTATACCTTCCGATCGGTCAAGTGTTCGATCAATATGACATGCTCCAGCTCCTCGACCATCGACTTAGTGGCATCGGAATCATCAGGGGCGATGAATGACCTAGGAACTCCGTAATCATCATCCTGACCTGCCTCTTGCTTCTCCGGTTCGGTCGGGGCTGGTGTTGGTGATTGCTATTTAGTTTCTTCCTTCCTAACCGACTTTGGGTTCTTTGATGTCGAGAGTGTGGACATTAGGATCACCTCATCGACCGTGAACATTTCTTTTGCGGCCGACTGTTCTCCGTAAACTGTCTTGATCCTTCCTGGTGTGGAGAACTTCAATGCCTGGTGTAGTGTCGAGGGTATTGCCCTCATGTTGTGAATCCATGGCCTTCCGAATAGAGCGTTATACCTCATATCCCATTTGATGACGTAAAACTTTGTTTCCTGAATGATTCCGGCGGTGTTCCCTGGCAGGGTTATCTCCCCTTTAGTAGTTTCACATGCCATGTTGAATCCATTTAAGACCTGGACTGTAGACACTATTTGGTCTTGTAAACCCAACTGCTCTACGACCCTTGATCTGATGATATTGGTCGAGCTACTTGGATAAATTAACACACGCTTAACTCGAGATTTATTTATGAGTAGAGAAATTACCAGTGCATCATTATGCGGTCGCACGATGACTTCAGCGTCTTCATCATTGAAAGAGATGGTCCCCTCCGGCATGTAATCTCGGGTCCGCTTTTCCCTTGTGATGGATACCTTAGTACGCTTCATCATTAGCCCCTGGGGGATGTCGACTCCACCAATGATCATTTTGATGACGTGTTGAGGTCCTTCTTGCTCGGTCTACTTGTTGGAGTCCCTATTCCTGAAGTGATTTTTGGCTCGATCACTTAGGAATTCCCGGGCCACTTCTTCTCTTAGCTGTCTGCAGCCTTCGGTCCTGTGGCCGTGAGTGCCATGATACTTATACATCAGGTTAGGGTTTCTTTGGGTAGGATCAGACTGCAATGTCTGAGGCCACTTGGTATCTTTGATGTGTATAATGGCTGATACGATGCAGGCAGCATCGACTCTGAAGTTGTATTCCGATAACCTTGGTGCCTCCCTGGCCCCGATTTGCCTGTCGAAACCGTTTTTGCTCATGAGTCCCTGGCTATTATGACCTCGATCGCTTCTTTTTTCATTCCTCGTAGGGTTACGTCCGGATCCGCTGCCCTTTCGATCTCCGCTATATGGTTGATACTGATTCCTATTAGGTCTTGGTTCATGATTGACGACTCTTTTGGGCCTGTCATAGTTCTGATGGATATACGGACCCAGAGGGGGCCCCGAATTGATCATCCTCGACTCTGATTTTCGATTGGTACCTATTATAGACGTCAACCCAAGTTACCGCTGGGTACTCTATCAAATTCTGTTTCAGTTGTTGTGAAGCCAAGGAGCTTTGGGGGTTGAGTCTTTGAGTGAATGCTTGAACAGCACAATCGTTCACAACCAGAGGCAAGTCCATTCTTTCCATTTGAAACCTCGATACGAATTCCCTGAACATTTCGTTGTCTCTTTGTTTCACTTTAAAGAGGTCTGATTTTCTGGTCTCGACTTTGATGGCCTCAGCGTGAGCCTTTACGAAGGCATCTGCAAGCATAGCGAACGAATCAATAGAATTAGGGGGGAGGTTGTGATACCATATCATTGCTCATTTGGACAGGGTTTCTCTGAACATTTTCAGCAGCACCGACTCGATTTCATCATCTTCTACGTCATTTCCCTTGATGGCATATGTGTAGGAGGTCACATGTTCATTTGGATCTGTGGTCCCGTACTTTGGAATTTCTGGCATACGGAACTTCTTTGGGATTGGTTTCAGAGCTGCGCTTGGAAAGAAAGGCTTTTGGAAAAATTTCTTGGAATCCATGCCTTTCAATATCGGTGGTGCTCCTAGGATTTGATCAACCCTGGAGTTATAGATCTCCATTTTTTTGTCGTTGGCTTCGTTCTTCTTTTCTCCTGATTTCACCTACTTTGTCAGTTCCTCAAGCATCTTTATTATCTCGGGGTTGGTCCCGGGTTTAACTTCACCTAGCCTTCTTGTGGTTGGTTTATTTCTGTGGGTATTTTTTTGGGATGGTTTGGGCTCAACTCTGCCGGGGGCGCGGCTTTGGTTCTACAACTGGTTTATCACCGCCTGTTGAGCCTGTAACATCTCAAAGATCACCCGTAAATTGATCTCATCGCCTTCGTTGTCATGTGTACCCCGGGCTATCGATCGGGCTCCCCCGCGAACGCTGTTTTCGTGGTCGGTAGGCAAGTTTGCGTCGATGGTTACATGTGAGTTGGCATCGATTGGGTCCGCGACCGGAACTCCGTTGGGGTCAACGGGAGGCACCTCGTTGCTGGGCACTACATTGTTGTTCTCGCCATGGTGGACAGACTCAGCATCAACGTTCAAATGAGCAGATTGAGAGTTTGACATTTTTTATTTGACCTGAAATTAAAATCTCAAAGAACAAGCGTAATACAGAGTGCGTTATGAAAATTTGTATCAAATTACCACTATTATCCCTAGCCCCACGGTGGATGCCAAATTGTTTACCCTAAAAAATGGATAACAATTGAATTTATATGTGGTTTTAAGGATATGTGGATTAATTCAATACGAGTGATTAATGACGTTAGATTAAGCAAATGAAAGACGTAATAAATGGCCAAACTAACGATAAGAGTGATTTCGAGCTCGGTTGATGGCTCAATGAGGAACCTGCCCTCGATTCCAAGCTTGGACTTATAAAGAACTTAAGAACAAAAATAAGAGCTTTTAACAACAAAGGGAATTGAAATAAACTGCCTTGGTATGTGTGTTACATTGTCCCCCATGAATAATAAGCTTCCCCCTTTATATAGTAGGGGAGTTTTACACTAAGTACAATTCAAAGAAAGGTAAAAATCTTTTATTTTGCTAATCACTGATTTTTTACCGATACGGGCCGACATTCACGCCGTGATATCCGGTTGGGCACGGACATCTCGGCCCTTTGTTAGTCATGTACAGCTGTTTGGTAATGCTCTCTGAAATCTTGATCCTTGAACCGAACCCGGAGGACATGGGCCTGATACCCCCGAGGGCAGGTGTTTTGCCCGAGCCCCGATACGAGGGGCTCCTTGCTCTGACTCTGATTCATTACGGTCACGTTCTTGTTCCGTTTGCCTCACCAGGAAATAGGGGTGTTCAGTGGACTCGATTTTACCCGTATACAAGTTTAAAATTAATTTGTGCGTAGAAATCATTATTTCATTTGAATAACCTCATCAAAATTGAAAAAAACCCACATCAAAACAATATTTCGAAATTTCACTAATATTTCAAAGACTAAATTTTAGTATTTACCAACGAGTGATGACCAAACTGGTATTACAAATAGTGGAATTCAGTATCTAAGATGGTGAAATAATGTTTGTTTTCTTTACTAGTGCATGCCAAAAGAAAAAAAATCCTAATTATCTCGCAAGTCTTGATTAATTTTCCTAATTACTTGGCTAAGGCACATCTTCTTAAAGAAAAGAATATTTCGTTTAGTTATGGCAATTGCGAACACACATACTATTCTACGCCCAAAAGAAGAAGTCATTCATCACAAAATTCATTCATTCAAAAACAACTCGAGGGCTTTTAGTTTGCCTACCTAAGCTCCTCCATCTGAGGATCACGGCCTATTATCTAAAACATTTTGATCAAATTTGAACCCTAAGCCCAAAGAGCAAAATGATAGTTACTAGAGACTGTCCTCTTCCACCATCAACATTTAAGCAAAATCCAATGGACCTCAACTCATGCTTACTATATACGATGATTAAGATTGTCACACCATTCCCAATTTAATTAACACACTTTAAATGAAATATAAGTCGAACCACGCATCTCAGTTATGAGTTCTAAATTTTAGGATAGAGATATTAAGTTTTAGTAACTGAGTTCTGAATTGAAAATCAATAATCAAAGGATGCATGCTTTACTTTATTACACAAATAATCACTCAAAACTAATGTTTCTGTTTTTATTTGATGGAATTATTCAACCAAGAAATATCCAGCTACTCCAAGACAAAAGATTCTCAAAGCCATGAGAGTGACCCTTGAATCTGTCACTGCCAACTTGAAGATTCATCTAATACTTATATTGAAAACTCCATTTTTGGTTTGACTTGCACAAATTTCCATAGACTTTATAGTAAGTACTGTAGTACATAACGTCACAAGAAAATGGCCTCTGCAATTCCAAGTTGCTTACTTTGTTGGCTCTAAATTATTTTTGTCTTAAGTAGGACTAAATCAGTTGACTATCATAGCTTTAAAATTAATACAAAGATTCTTACACCTTAGTTCTTACATGAAATCAAGAGATCAGTTCACTCACATGGCTTCAAACTGGCCACCTTTTCTATTTTCATCCAAATATTATAGTGTTTCTGGAGATGGGGATAGTTGTGTGAGGCAAAGCAGTTTTTTTGGAGGAAAACCTGTTCTTAATCAGGGTGTTGGCTACTCTGTCATTCTTGGTTTTGGAGCTTTTTTCGCAGTCTTCACTTCTTTCCTGGTATTCTAGTTTTACTTTTACTTTTCTCTTTCTTACTGATTATAATGTCAACTAGCGTATATGAGTTAAATTCTAACGAGAGGGGAGAGGGTGGGCCGAGGGGGTAGAAGAGGCATTGTCTTTAATTTGGAGCAACCTTTTCCAATTTTCCTTCTTTTATAACTTTCAAAGAAATTTAGATACGTTAGTATCTGGCTTCTCCAGAATCTGTAAAATGCATATTCTGCGATAATTTTAATTCCTAAAGAATATTCATCGTCTATGGCCTATGGAGCCACTTTGCTTATTATCTTCTTCAACTTATCCAACATTCATGCAATAGTTTTTATAGTGGATTGATCACACTGATAACTGTGCCAAGGCACAAAATCATTATGTAAAAGAGTCGCATGTGTAATATATTTATTTGATTCTCTTCGGCATATGGGATTATAGCTTTATCATCTTTCCTATTTGTAATTTTCTATGCGCTGCTATAAGGTTTGGCTGGAAAAAAGATATGTTGGTTCGCGTCATACATCAGAATGGTTCAACACAGCTGGTAGAAATGTCAAAACAGGACTTATTGCAAGTGTAATTGTGTCTCAGGTACCATTTTTATTGTTACCTAATAATACCAATGTAACTCAAAGTTACAATCAACTTAATGGCAACATCTTCTTTTGCAGTGGACTTGGGCAGCTACAATCTTGCAAAGTTCTAATGTAGCCTGGGAGTATGGAATTAGTGGACCCTTTTGGTATGCAAGTGGAGCTACTATTCAGGTACATACTATTCTTGACCTTCTCAAGAAGGAAGAAAGGAAGAAAAATCTTTTGAGTTGTTTCTAAAGAGATTTGTTACAAAACAGGTGCTCCTTTTTGGTGTGATGGCAATAGAGATCAAACGAAAAGCTCCTTATGCTCATACAGTCTGTGAAATCGTCAAAGCAAGGTTTGTAATGGAAACTCCAAAGATGAAGATAACTCTGCTGTATCCTTAAAAACTTTTCTTTGGGCAGGCAGTTTGTTGACTACTATTATTTTCAGATGGGGAACTGCTGCTCATCTTGTTTTTCTGGGGTTTTGCTTCTTGACGAACATTATAGTAACAGCCATGTTGCTTCTTGGTGGATCAGCTGTCGTTAATGCACTCACTGGCGTCAATATATATGCTGCAAGTTTTCTTATCCCTCTTGGTGTTATAATTTACACCTTAGCAGGAGGGCTAAAAGCTACTTTCTTGGCTAGCTATATACATTCTGTCATAGGTATCTAAATTTTACTCTTTATATTAGCTTTTTTACTCTTTTTCACGCGCTCATCTAAGAAATTTTCTGGTTGTTGATTTCAGTACACGTGGTTTTAGTCATCTTTGTGTACCTAGTATATGTTGCTAGCGATGAACTTGGCAGCCCAAGCCTCGTTTACAGACGTTTATTAGAGGTAGCAAGCAAGTCAAGAAATTGTCAAGAGCCAATATCCCATGTTGGACAATCTTGTGGTCCTGTTACTGGGAATTTCAAGGGGTCTTATGTTACTATGTTGAGTTCAGGTGGTCTTGTCTTTGGTATCATCAACATCGTGGGAAATTTTGGCACAGTTTTCGTTGACAATGTAACTTCTTTCGTGTAATTTAGCAAGAAACTGGCTTATGGAATGTATCTGTAACCATCATTTACTAATAACCATAAATATTGAAATGTAGGGGTACTGGGTAAGTGCCATTGCTGCAAGACCATCATCGACGCATAAGGGCTATTTGTTGGGTGGTCTTGTTTGGTTTGCTGTGCCATTCTCTTTGGCAACATCACTAGGTCTTGGAGCACTAGCTCTTGATTTACCAATAACAGCAAGTGAGGCTAGCCATGGACTAGTTCCTCCAGCTACAGCTATTGCTTTGATGGGAAAAGGGGGGTCGATTCTTCTCCTCACAATGCTCTTTATGTAAGTGCCTAATCAAGAACTATGCGTGGAAATGGTTCTGTTAACTTTCAATTATATGACTTCTTCTGTATTGATTAGGGCTGTCACATCAGCTGGTTCATCTGAGCTAATTGCAGTCTCTTCATTATGTACATATGACATCTATCGTGCATACATCAACCCTGATGCAAGTGGAAAACAAATTCTAAAAGTTTCAAGAGGAGTTGTATTAGGATTTGGCTGTTTCATGGGCATTTTAGCAGTAGTTTTGAACAAGGCAGGGGTTTCTCTAGGTTGGATGTATTTAGCCATGGGAGTTTTCATAGGATCAGCTGTTCTCCCAATTGCTTTCATGCTTTTATGGCAAAAAGCAAACAGTTTTGGCGCAATCCTGGGGACAGTTGTTGGCTGTTTGTTAGGGATTATCACTTGGTTATCGGTCACTAAGATCGAGTATGGAAGGATAAATCTTGATACAACTGGTAGAAATGCGCCAATGCTTGCAGGAAACCTTGTTTCTATACTTACTGGTGGAGCTATTCATGCTGTTTGTAGCTTTCTAAGGCCCCAGAACTATGATTGGCAGACTACTAAGCAGATCACTGTGGTTGAAAAGGAAAAGAGTGAATTGCCACCTGAAGAGTTCAAAGAGGAAAAGCTCAACAGAGCCAAAGCATGGATAATCAAATGGGGCATTGGTTTCACAGTTGCGATAGTACTTCTCTGGCCTATTCTTACACTTCCTGTGGGTAAGTCTGAATAATTTAATCCTTCTGCTACTTCAGTGTTAGTGTGAATGCTCGATGATTAATTGGTTGCAAACTTGATAATGCAGGGCAATTTAGCAAGGGATACTTCACATTCTGGGCTGTAATAGCTATTGTATGGGGTACAGTAGGATCAGCAGTTATTATTGCTTTACCATTGATGGAAAGCTGGGGAACAATCCAAATTGTGCTTAATGGCATGTTTACAAATGACAGAGTTATGGAAAAATTGGAAGACTTAAACTCCAAGCTGAATGCATTTATTATAGCAATACCTGAAGTAGAGAGGGTGTATTTCCTTGAGAAAGAAAGGAGCAAGAGAAAGGAAGCATCCGAATCCGATCAGATTGTAGCTTCACCAAGTCATTGAATTCCCAGAGAAAACAAGTCGATCAGTGTGTATTTTAAGTCCAAAATAAGACAGAGGTGCCTTATACATACTGTCACTTTCTGCAAACTAACGTGACTACAATGATTGTATAAAGTACCATGACTTGGCTTCATGCCCCGAAAATAGTGAGGTTTTGCTTTTGAAAGTACATCATTGTCTTGTTTGAATTTTGTTTTGGAATGTCTGTTTAAACATTGGAAGAACTTCAAGAAGTCATGTGCCAATTCTTTGGCTATCTCATGTAGTGAAGCTTTTCATCTCTAGTGAAATAAATTCAGATGGTAGAATGACTTGTTCAAGTGACAGTTAGCTACCTAGTAAGAAACTGACACATGTCAAAGGATGCCACGATAGTTTGTGAGAATTGTCATCGCACTTTGAGAGGCCAACAAACATTAGATGAAACCTTTTTATTAGCAAAAGGTAACATGACCAGACAATCTTTCCGATCAGCCTGAAGAGATTTCAAGGCATAAAAAAGCAGCAAATATTTCTACTGAGTTCAAACATTCTAATAAAAACTGAAAACTGTGAGTAATCAGAAAGTTGTTTCCATCTAAACAAAAAGATTAACAAGAAATCAGATAGCAACCAATATGTGGTAGTGCAGTGTACACCGGATTTACTTTTCAGAAGTCCATCAAAATTCAGTGTTCAACCATTTAGTGTAGTAGACACATGTTTGTGGGGATATAACTCCATTGGGTGAACATTGACTAATCCTAGGGCAAGCACCACATGGAATTGAAGCCATTGGCCCTATTGTTTTCGGACCAGTCCCTAAAGCAACTCCGCTTGAAGTTCGATAACAAACTGATCCAACAGGAATAGAATGATATTCTCCCAATCCAGTGCTCTTCACCTCTATAATAGCATTGTCTAGAACCATAGAGTTCAATATTTCCGCAATTTGCTGACTTGTGCACTCAACAACTTTCCTTTTCTTCAAGAAGTTGTGGATTCCCTCCACAGTAGCAACTTTCAGCAATTCTATGACCTTGAAGCATGTGTCTCTGAGAACGGTGATGAATTCCTTATCAAGATTTCCCTCAGAGTACCATGAACCACCAGTCAGTTCCTCCGAAGGTTCAAACTCAACAGCCATGTAATGCTTCTTTCCCTTATTTTGGATATTCACAACTTGTTTTATCAACTTCTTTTTCACGAGTGCGGTCAGGGATTTATCCACAAGAGTTGGTGGGAGGTTTGCCTCCTTTTTCACCTCTACCACCCAGATGCCCAGATTCCTTTTATTTTTTACCAGACTGAGCACTACACGTTCAGCATCTGGAAGTCCCCGAGTAGGTGAATCCAAGTCTGGTCTTTTCCGCTTCATGGTGGTTGCTTCCCTTGATCGACTCATCTCTGAGAGCATAAAAAGAGCAAATAAAGAGATGAATTTTACCTTGGTTCTTATCACACTAAAGTGGCATGGAGAAAACAATAATTCCAGTTCAGACTCATGTAGTAACTAGCAGTGAGAGCAAAATCAATTCTCTCCAAATAGTCAGTCATGCCACCAAGATCCCAAATCAACAAATGCAGAAACACTCTATTTGAACCCTACGATATTTCTACTTCAACTATAAAACAAACAGAGTAAGATGACTTTATTTTAATGACCGAGAAATCCGTCCGGGGCCAACCGTTAGGACTAACAGCAGCCTTCAAAACTCGGGGATAATGGGCCACCCCTCCACTGTTCTCCACTTAAATATCAGGCTTAGTTCTCATGGCGCGGGGCTTGAACATGTCCTCAACCATTGCCACTTGAACTAAGCCTTGGGGGCGTGAATTTGTGACCCAAGTCACAACTCCCTCAACCAACCTTTGTCACTTGAATTAAGAAATTTAAATTATAATTTCTGAGAATATTCTGTTCGAATTTTCCAATAACAATTTGTGACGCCCAAATACCTAATTTGGTTGGTTTCTCAGTAACTGCAAATTTATATCCCAAAATTACGCATCATATTAAACCTTTCATTCTTCATTCCTACACCATCTCCTTCACCGTGAATTTGAACTAATTCACTGATAACCGACAATTATAGAAGAATGATTCACTATATTAAATTAAAACAAACGAGGATGAAACAAATTAAAACAAAAACAATACGACAAAAGAGAGGAAAGAAGAGAGAGACATACAGAGAAGAGAAGAGGAGTCGCCGTTTCCGAATCGCTGATGCCGTCGCCCTTTGCCGGTCGGAGGAGTTCACAAAACACGAAATTGTGGTTAGGGAGAGAGGTTTAGGTAAAAAAAATAAAATATAAAACACAAAATAGAACTTTAAGGCCAAAAAGTGAATTGACAATTTATTCGAAAAACTTTTGTACTTAAATGAAATTAGTTCAATTTCATTTAATTATTTGAATTTTTGAATTAAATTTTTTAAATTACTTATAAGTTATAATGTAGAGAAATCTACATTATTTACCTATCCGATCCAAAATTATTAGCCACATGTACCTATTTTAAATTTAATTTCAATTTATATCAATCTAACCCATAATTATTACCCGACCTACCTACAGAACCGAAAAAATATGTATTCAAACGGAGCACATATTGGTTCTCTAATCCATGCGAAGGAGTGGAGTTCTGAACCAGTTCACGGATCCATTGTAATTTTCTTTCTTATGTTTAAATCAGCTCAAATGTTTTTATTTATTTGAATTTTATGTGTATCTATTTATTTGTTTGAGCTATAATTTTAATTAATAAACATTCTGAAACTCTATCTTCCATAGATGAGAAACCGAGTAGGAGAAAATTCTCAGCGAGTCTCTATCAATTATTCAGTAGAGTAAAAATTCAAAATAGTGGATACAATTTCAGATCAGAAGGAAAAAATTGAAACTTTATGTAAATGAGTTCAAAATATCAGATTTGAATATTCATGTATGTTTGAAGTGTTTTACACTTAATTCATTAGGTGTTATTTTTTGATGTGTAGATCATGGTGTTAACGTAGATTTTCAGAGATTTATTATAAGAAAAATTAAATCTACGATTGAAGGACTTGAAGCTTTCACTCATAAATTAGGTTTGTAGAGTTTGTAGTTATTTCGATGTGATTTTGACAGGAGTATGTTTGAAGTGTAGATTGGAGGTTGTGACTAAATTTTAAGTAAATTAGGTGGAGATTTTGGGATAGATTTTTGAATTTTAGGTTGAAATTGAATTGAACTAACGAATAAGACAAATCTGTATTTTTTTTTAAAGAATAAACCAGTCTTTTATGATACCTTGTCAGTATATAAATCAATCTAGTTCATTTGTTGGTTGATTTGTGAGATGATCCAAGTCCAGATGATGAATTCAAACACTATTCTAATCTCTTGTTTGCCTTTATCTGTACACAAGTTTGGATTAGTGTTAAACTAAGCTCCAAATTTAATAACTCAAAAAAGTCTGTATCATAGTGGAGTGACTTGTACGATGGTAGGACCTCTTCAATTTTAGGGAGGCCATGAGTCTCCGAAGTTTGTGTTACATATTTTTACAAAGATATGAATTAAGTTGTTACCATTCATATTTTGTAATTCAATGGTAGAACTCTTAATACTTGTATTCCATAAACATTTAAGATTCGATTCATAGTACTATTCGGCCCTCGCCAGAACTTTTACTTTCCATTTTGGCTTGCTGCTGCACTTTGCAGAAACTAAGTTTCGATCTTCTATATATCAGGGAATGTCGAACACCCATCTCTTCAAGTTGAATTCTCCAACCAATAGATCGTACGTGGGTTTTCTTTCTTGTAAAGATCTCCATTAACAAGATACCATAGTTGTAGCATGTAACATCTCCCATGGTTGACACTAAGCCTTCTGATCTGTATTCTGCAAACATTCGTCATATATTTTTATCAACAAAAAATGACATAATATGCTATTTCTTAATTATCTTTCTATTTAGTTAATAAAATGTGACACTAATTACACTGAGTTAGATTATGTTGTTCAACATAAATAAAAAGGACTTGAGATTATGTAGTCAATAGTGTTTAACGTGTGCTATCATTTTATCTGTTGTCATAAGTTTGGATATACCAAAGCCACTGACTCTTGCAACCATGGCTTCATCCAAAAATATGTTACTTGGTTTTAGATCACAGGACGACAATACTAGAACGACTTTCATGTAAATATTCCATTGTAGAAGCCACATCAATCATGACCTTCAATCTTTGGTTTAAATACAGAAAATTTGTGAGAGTAAAGCCATGTACTCAGTACCAACACTTTAAAATCAAGGTTAGCACAACTCCTTATCACCTTAACAAGATTTCTATGGCGAATGTTACGCAAACCTCACACTCAAAATCAAACCTTCTAAATGCATCTTGAACTTCTGTATTGAAAACCTTTACAGCAAATCAAGTTGCCTTCGTTCCTTTGTATACTAATCCAAGGCATCCACTGCCAATGATCAAGTTGGCTTCGTCAAAGTTGTTTGTCCCTCGAACAACTTCATAGTAAGAGATCCTCTGGTATGGGATTGGCCAATCAAATCTGGTATAGCAATTTGTCTATTTCTTTTTCGATATTTCAGCAGCCAAACCATGCATGAAAATGGTATAGAGTGACTACTGCAATTAATGCAAGAACAAAAGTTAAAGCCCTTCTCGTGTTTCTGCTTTTCGGGCTATTGATTCTACATTTCACCACATTGAATTCATGAGATGTTCCACATAATTTGGCATTATCCATGAAAGATTCAGCTGTCAAATTTACAAAACGTCCTCCACTTGCAATCTTACCAGTGAGCGGACACACTAAGATAGCTGAGCTGTTTAAGATTCATCAAAGACTCAGGAATCGTACCAGAAAGGTTATTTCTAGATAGATCCAAGTATGCAAGAGCAACCATGTCTCCGAATGATTCAGGTATAGAACCTTCAAAATTATTTATCGACAATGAAATATTCACCGAATTCTGTAGTATTCAATTCTGACCACGCGTACAAGTCATAATACCTGAAGTGAAGCTGCTCATGGCCTCAAACCGTTGGATGACGCGCTAGAGCTCAAAATGATCGGTCGGGTCATTTCAAGTAGAGTGAAACATCAAACAAGTAAAGGCAATAAGGCAAGAAAAGGATGAAATAATAGAAATGCCTAACCAATAACATGTGAGAGTATGTAATAAGTAAAGGCATACTATAAATGAAGGCATTAATAAGTGAAATCATGCAGCAAATAAAGGCAGGCAACCAGTGAATGCATGTATACAACTAGTAAAGAAATGTATAAAGTAAAAGTACATAACAAGTAAAAATATGGAATAAATAAAGACATGGTATAATTAAAGACATGCAACAAAGTAGTACACCCCACATGCTTGAACCCCTGACAATGTATATACACTCTTCACCTTGCATATATGTTGTCCCCACACATAAATCACGTAGCAAATACACCAATCAAGTTCTATTTTCCTCAAATCAAGGTTAACCACGACAGCTACCTCTTTTCGGAATAAGTTCAAAAATTCAACATGGCTTTACCTTGAACATGCCTTTGAACCACTCAAATCTAGTCAATTATTGTTCAAAAAAGTCAAAAAAAGCTTTAGAAATCACCCTCGTACGAAAAAAGGTTCGATCTTTAACATACTCAACAAAAACTCAACCCTGGTCCACATGCTCGAAATTCGAAATTAAGACCAAATGTCGATTACACATTCACCCTTGAGTCCGAATATGTAATTTGTTTCGAAATTTGACCTCAATTAGAGGTGTAAATCTCAATTTTATAAAATCCCCGATTTCTACCCAAAACCCCAATTTCTACTCGATCTTATAGTGAATATTCATTAAAAAGTAATAGAAATTGAATGAAAACTAGTTAAAGTTACTAATTTATGAAGTTGAGAAGAAAGTACTCTCCAAAAATTGCTTCTATATAGTCTAGGTCTCAAAAATGGTATAAAAGGAGCTAAGTCCTGAAATCCCAATCCTTTACCCAGCTGCAGGTATCGCAATTGTGAACACTTATTCTCAATTTCGATGTTCGCAAATGCAAACCACTAATCGCAAATGCGACCTGTGCCTGAGCCTCCCAGTTTTTGCAAATGCGACCAAACCTTTGCATTTCTAAAGGTCCAACCCCTCGCAAAAGCGCACAAAGCTTCACCTATGCGAAATTGTCCAACCATAGCGCTGCGAGCGCCGCAAATGTGAATTCTCCCCAGTTTGCAAAAGCAACAAATACATCGCAAAAGTGAAGTTTCCATGCCCATGCCCAGCATTGCAAATGCGAGAATTTTCTCGCAAATAAGAGGCTCGCATTTGCGAACAGAACCTCGAAAATGCGAGATCTGCACCCCAGCACACAAGCAACCCTTAATCATGCCAAGATCAGTCTACAACCCATCTAAAACTCACTTGAGCCCCTCGAGTTCCAATCCGATCACTCACACAAGTATAATAACATCAAACAACTCGCTCGCAAGCTCAAATCATCAAAATAACATATAAAATCAAGAATCGTTCATAAAAACTAAAGATTTTCAGAGTTCAAACTCAATTTTTCCAACTTTTCACATAAAGCGTCGAAACGGCTCGGGTCACCCGGTACCCCAACCAAACATGCATACAAATCCAAAATCATCATACGAACATTACCAAAATCGTTAAAATACCGATCCGAGGTTGTTTACCAAAAATATTTACTGCAGTCAACTTTAGCCATTCTTCTAAGTTAAAATCACATTTTCTTTAAAAATTCACATTTAAACTTTTCGGAAATCGATACGGACCATGACACAAGTCATAAATCATCAAACTAAGCTATGAAAGATCTCAAAACATAAAATGGGGAGCTAGTACGAAAAACGACCTATCGAGTCGTTACATTCTCCACCTCTAAAAGAAACGTTTGTCCTTGAACAGACATAGAAATGAACTTGGACTGGTAAAAAGGTGCGGATATCTACTCCTCATGTCGGACTCAGACTCCCAAGTAGCCTCCTCAGTTGGTTGACCTCTCCAACGCACTTTCACAGAAAGAATATCTTTATATCTCAATTTTCGAATCAGCCGGTCTAGAATAGCCACCGGCTCTTCCTCTTAGTTCAAGTTCTCATCAAGGTGCATCATGCTGAAGTCCAAAATATGTGACCTATCTTCATGGTACTTCCAAAGTGTGAAAATTTGAAATATCAGATGTACCCTTGCTAGTCTAGGAGGCAATGCAAGCGTATAATCAACCTCCCCTACTCTCTCTAAGATCTCAAAATGGACCTCGGGCTCAACTAGCCCTTATTGCC